GGGAGGGGTCCCTGGATTTAGGGGGAGGGTCCCTGATTTTGGGGGGAGGGGAACAGACTCTGGGGAGGGGTCCCAGGATTTGGGGGGGGAGGGGAAATGACTCTTGGGAGGGGTCTCTGGATTTGGGGGGGGGGAAGGGACTTTGGGGAGGGGTCCCAGGATTTGGGGGGGGAGGGGAAATGACTCTTGGGAGGGGTCTCTGGATTTGGGGGAGGGGAAGGGACTTTGGGGAGGGGTCCCTGGATTTTGTGGGGAGGGGAAATGACTCTGGGGAGGGGTCTCTGGATTTGGGGGAGGGGAGGGGACTCTGGGGAGGGGTCTCCGGATTTACGGGAAGGATTTTTGGGGGGAGTTTCCTGCCGGACCAAGGGCGTTCTCAGGGGTGAGGGGAGGGGTCTCTGAGCATCCCCCCCCACCCCATTAACCCCTTCCCTCCCTCAGCCCTTCCCGCTGCCCCCCGGCCCGCAGCTGTGGCCGGGCTCGTTCCTGGAGGAGCTGGCCGAGATCCCTCTCCCGGCTCACTGGGGCGTGGTGGGGGCTGCGGGGCCGGGGCCGTGCCCGGCGCGGGGTTTGCGGCTGGTGCAGCGCTGTCCCCGCTCGCCCATGGCCGCGGCCGCCGTGCTGCTCAACCCGGGGCTGGCGTTCCGGGTCCTGGTGGCCCGCGGCCGCCCGGTGCCCCCCGGGCACGAGGTGCTGGCCCGGCGCCCCCCCCTGCGCTCCGTGCTGGACCTGGTGGAGCTGCTCTGTGATCTCGAGGCTTACGGGCCCTGCCCGGGACCCCCGGGACCCCCGGCCCGGCCCCCCGCCCCCCGCTGCCATGTGCTGGTGAGGGGGGGGCGCTGCTGCCGGCCCTGCCAGCTGCTGGCGGGGGAGGGGCACTGAGGCCGGGGGGGGTCGGGGAGAGGTGGGAATTCGGGTGGGGGATGGGTGGGATGGGAGTGAAAAAGGCGGGGAAATGAATTTGGGGAGGGGGATGTTGGCGTGGAGGAAATGGGGATGGGGAAATGGAAAAGGAAGCGAAATTTGGGGGGGGGGGGGGGAAGG